GCACAAGTTTCAGGGAAAATAGACACTAACATTGAGATTGTTAAGGCTCTGAAGCAAGTGGTTACCACACCAAAGATAGTATGCACTTTGATGGGAATCCTATCAAGTTCCCCTCATTTATGCACAATTTTGAAACGTGTCTTGAAAGAAACAATGACAGTGACGAATCAAAGTTGCAACTATTGATTCAGCATTGCCATGGTAAGGCAAAGGAAGCCATTGAAACCTGTGTCAATTTGCCTGCAGATGAAGGATATTGTGTTGCTAAAAAGACCCTGACTGAGAACTTTGGTAAGCGACGTATAATTGCTAGGGCCCACATTAAGAAGTTAGTCAATTTGCCCAATATAAAGAAAACTGATGGTTCTTCATTGCTTGAGTTTGCATGGCATCTTGAGTCCACAAATCGGAAACTTAAGGGAATGGGTCCAGAATATGTCAGTGACTTAAGATCATGTGAACACCTTGAAGGAGTTAAATAGAAAACTTCCAATGTTCATGAGAGCAAGATGGACTGAGGAAGCTGGGACGATATATGAGCGTAATTCCCCACCACGATTTGAAGATTTTCTTAATTTTATCAAGAGGAAAGCCACTTTGATGAACAATGAATTTGGAGATGACCTCACCTGTAGTGATAGTAAGGACAGGGGTAAGGAGAAATGAAGAAATAATGAGAAAGGTGGGCGCTTTAATAAAGAGAACATCGCGTCGTTGGTAGGAATGAAGAGGGATGAGAATGGGAAGTTGAATTCGAGGGTTTCACGAAGAAATTGCTCTATGTGTTCTGGCCCCCATGGATTATGGCAATGTGAAAAATTTCGATTACTTTCATTGAATTTGAAATTTGAAATGGACTGACAATGTAAAGCACGTGTTATTGTCATGTTATGGAGTTTTATCCACTCTACGTAAAATACGAAATCTGGCCCCGAAAAATGTTAAGAAACAGTTAGCAGAGTGTTTAGTTCTTTCGAAACTTCAGTTCAATGATATAGTATGTTACCCACTACCGATGCATCTCTAAAAGAAGATTCAAAAAGTTCAGAACTGTGCAGCAAGTTTCATAGTTAACCGCTATGCTACTGAAGAAGATGTGCTTAAACTGGGTTGGCTCCCTACTAATGAAAGAACTGAACTTGATTTACTTCGAGCAACCCACCATGCGATGTATAATCCGTCATGGCCTGAATACTTGAAGGTAGAGAAACGCGAGCCAAAAAGACTGTTAAGATCAAGCAAAGCGCCAATATTAGTGGTATTACTAACAAAAGGAACATTTCGGGACTCCATATCTCGGCTATTTAATGAACTTCCCTTACCAAAGCAAAAGTATGGGAAAGATATGGCAAAGTTTGGGCCATATATGACCCATATGTGGGCATGATATGGGACAATATAGATATCATGTGGGATTGGTATGGTGTCTAAATTTGTTAAATATTGAGATAT